TTTGACTGCATTATGCATTTGAACTGACCCTCTGGGGTTTGTGTAGGATCTGGTTTTAGGATCTCCCTGTGTTTGGTGAGTAAGGGGCATTTTAAAAGAAAGTGTATTTCGTTTTCCACTTCATCTGAGCATAACTTGCAGATCCTTTCTTCAGGGGGTATTGATTTTGGTTTTCGGTATCTGCCTCTTTGGATTTCTAAGTCATGTGCCCCTGTTCTAAATTTTGCCAAATTTTGCATTTCATGTTTTGGTATAGGTGCTGTTGTGTACGCTTCCCTTTCATAATTTGTTTTAAATAATCGATATGTACGTAGTATGCTGTTTTCTCGCTCTATTTCTTTGAGAAACAAAAGGGTATAATGACTTTCCAGTGCGTTCTTTACTTCTGCTTTCGAGGGGGTATTAGTCTGTGTTTTCATTAGATTTTGAGTAATGTATTTGATTTCCCTTGACCAATTTTTTACCTGTGTATCATGTTTTGTTTCATATTCATACATTGTTTTTGCCAAGCGCTGCTTTGGCATTTCAGAAAATCTTTGCCAGTAGGATGTAGCATGACCAATTATGTCATGTGTAATTGGGAATCTACCTAGTTCTGCTTTAGCTGCTATATTACTGGCATTGCGCCTCACACCTAAAATGTATTTGCAATAGTTATTTTGTACTACTTCAAATGGCAAAGTATTCATGTATTTAAGAGATTTTATGCTTTTAGATGTGATTGATGGTCCCCAGATTTCGCATCCGTACATCAGTATGGGTTTTATAAGGACATCGAAGAGTTTTAAATGTGTCTGGGTCATATTGTGGGTGGTGGACTGTAAAGCCTGCTTAACTGCAAAAACCGCCTTCATGGCTTTACCTTTCAGATCATCAAGTGCGCTTTTGAATGATCCATTCGGTTTGAATTTTATCCCTAAATAATTATATTCATGTGTTATTTCTATTGTTTGATGGTCTATTGTGAAATTCATGTTTGGTTTTTTGCCTGACTTACTAAATATCATTACTTTCGTTTTGTTGGTATTGACTGTGAGTTTCCATTTTTTGCAGTAGTCCCCCAGATTGTCCAGACTTTTTTGTAGGCCCTTTGCAGATTTAGATAGAATAACGAGGTCATCAGCATATAAAAGGTGACTGATTGTAGTGTTGGCATTAACTTTTACGGGATCACATGTGCTGTTGAATATATTTTTCATATCATCTATGTAAATATTAAAAAGCATTGGACTCAAGCTGTCACCTTGCCTTATTCCTATATCTGTCTTAAAGTAGTTTGTGCGTCTTTGGCCAATTTTGACACACAGCTCTGTAGTTTGATACATGTGTTTTATTGTTCTGTAAAAGAAATGGATTATATTATTTTCGAATCAGCGGATCTAAAATAAACAAAGTTTATTAATAAACGCGCAATATATTCGTAATTAAAGCCTATTTGCCTGTTTGACTGCATTTAAACTAGGACGCAACTGACCATGTGTGTTTGATTGACGGGGCTGGTTTAGAGATGTGCTGCATACCTTGTTGGTATTTATTCCTAGGCCTTCACAAGCAATATATCCCATATCATTCGGATAATGTTCAGGTGATGTTTTGCAACAGGATGACAACTTAGCATCCCAATTGTATTGCTTTAGGAGCGTACAGTGAAGGGAATATCATGAAAACCCAGTGATCTGACCAAAGACATTGTGGCGATTTGATCGACTAATGGTAGAGGACAGATCTACGTAGTAAAAGTATACATACCAATGCAATTTACTGTTACACAACGCCGTACTCCCTTGGGCAAAATTAAAGGCTAACATCCCCGTTTCAATTTACCACTTCAAGGGAAAGATTCAGAACAGCGCCCTGGACTGAATTTTGATCTTACAAACTGACCCCTGGAAACCACAAAATTTTCTTTCATGCCCGAAATCTGTGAATTTAAATACTCGATCCCCACCATTAAAAGTGCCACCCACCCTCACATTGACTGCCTCTCTTGTTATAGAGCACAATTCAAATTAATTTATTAAAAGAGACAAACCTAGCTGTTATTACAGAATCGGGATTCTTTAACATAGATTTTGTCTCGACTCCAGGGACGTCTCAATTTCTTTTTCGCCCTATATATATATATATCTTATTCAGTTGAATGGTCTTTATCACAGCATCTATATTTAAGTTCATTAAAAACCACAAATCAAACGAATTGTGTGTACGCGCCGTAATGTACATGATCTTTGGATGGTTATTATAAGTAATCCGATGTTGATAATTTCGATTCCTATACATTATAGTAGATGTGCGTATACGGAAAGCATCAAAACAGACTTAAGGCATTTTTGCGTCGATCATTATACCGTTTTATTTGCATCTCATCTGTAGAGACATTTATTGCCAGATTAACGAAGCACCGCGCAATTATGTAAGAGAACCACGAAAACAGAGCACCCGCACCAGACACGGGCATTTAATTTTGGTTGGTCCTTACGGGCTTGCATTCGACCGGAGGCAGAGTTGTGAATCAATCTACAGTATATTATTTTCCGTTTATATAAAAGTTACCTAAGTCCCGCATAACGCTATCTCAAAAATTGGTCATTTTATGACCCTTTAAAACACCGCTACAGATGTAGACACTCAACCCAATTAATTAAGTTCGATGTGAGAAAACTTTCAACAAAAAGTGAAAATGTGAGCCAGATATATTTCGATTAATATCGGAATAAATATAAGACACGCTCCATTACTTTCACTGGTTTATGTCATTGTACCGTCTAACAGGGAAAGCATTCAGCAGTTATTAAAGGTAATATGAAACATTAATAAAAACGTTATGCAAAACGTGAGCGGTTGGGATAAGTTAATTTACGCTCTCATCTTTCATATGAAAAAAAATGAATATTTATTACAAGAGTTCAGGGTGGGAGGGGAGCATAAGGGCATAGCAACTATTATGTTATGAAATAACGATTTGAAATAAAAAAAGTCAAGTTGAGCCTTTCTACTGATATACTTTATCGTGTCTCGTGACTATCTAGCTTGGTTGGTTAAGAAGATATGTACGCCCCCACCCCTGCCCACACTTATTTCTCCTGTAAGATTGAAAAGTCGGTAGTTTGGCTCGGGCAATAAAATCTCACTATCTCCACATCTGGTTTCTATCAAGCGGGTTCAGAGCTTCAGAGCTTAGGACAAACATAAAGCTCCTCTGGCCAGGAAATCTGGAGAGGGGGAGTAGAGGAACATGTCTTCTCAATATGGAAAGCTATATATTTTTGGTAATTTCCTTTGTAACATTTACAAACACTATAAAATACTCTTTCTCGAATTAATATCATTTTCACACATTTCTGTAAATATCCTGAATTTAAATACTAATGTTAGATGTCAGAGACTTAGATTTATGACGAGAGAGAGAGAGGTTAAGACATTCTGTAAATGTCCCGAACTAGAGGAGAGTGTTATAAACTAAACAAATCTTGGCAATAACCCGTAGACAGTTAGCCTGCAGAGTGGTTTAGTTATTATGATCAACATTATTGTTTATATTTTTATTAATATCAAACAATTTTACTGTTTGCAGCTATACCTGTTTGGAACCTGTACTCTGTGCCATATAATAGCAATGGTGCAAAGTAGTGATATTGTAAAATCCTGCAATAAAATTTTCTTCAAATATCAGATTTTATTAGATGGTTGAATACAACATCAGTAATAGAACAGTAATAGAATTCAGTATAATGATACCGAATTGTTGTAAAGACATGTAGGAAGCAGGGTGACAATATATGCTCGGAAAGGGAGATTTCTCGAGTTTGTTCACTGCCCTGTGAAGCCATATTTTGTGGCCTGAGATGCCGTATCCGTTACTTCAAGACCTGACCTGTCAAAAGCACGTCTGGGCGCTCTTCTCATCTTTCAATTCTTCCACATTAATCAAGATACGGAGTATCAATTACAAGTGCCCGGGGGGGGGAGAGCATGAAGGGAATAAATATTTTAAGTAGTATCCTTGCGACACGAGGTCACTCTGCAATTTATATCTTTCAAGTTATGCTGTGAAATAATAGCCAGCTAGTCCGTTGATCTCGCGAATCAACCAAATGACCGTTAGCTGAGTTGCTTAACTGCAAGTAATTAATCCCCTCCCCTCCCCCGAACGTCATACTGGCAGGTTTCCAAATGAAGACTATACCGCAGAAAAAGTTTGGGGCCCAAAAGAGAGTCATCCAAGGACACGTTTGGGGAACACGTTTGAACACGTCATGATGGACATTTACAGGTGTAGGACCAGAACAGAGCCTCTGGTAAACAGTTTAGAACCAAGGGACCGAACTTGGTTTGAGGACCAGAAGAGAGGCTTAACAGACGTCTAGTTTGCTGGTCATCGTAGATAACTGATCCAACAACTTCGATATTCTTATTTTATTTCATCCTTAAATTTGTTGCAGAAGAATGTTAATTTTATTACCTGTTTCCTATTCCAGATTGACGACGTCCCCTCATCAACAGTATGTCGGAGCAGCAGCGTACGGTGAGTAACGAGGCACCAGCAGCCGCTGAACACAGCACAGTATTGTTATTTTTTTACGTCAATTCAGTAAAATATGAAAGTTTTTCTTTAACAGAAAGCGGTTTTTTAGATATAATACCTTCAAATGATCAAGATACACGTACAATGTTTCACGTCAGGTTGCATTATCTGTTCCACACGATTATTGGTTGGGTTTTAATATGTACACACACTGGACAAAAGAAGTGTCACCCCTACTGAACCAACACTTTGGGGGATATAAATGACTGTGGAATGATATGTTCCTGGTATCATTTAATTGACATCAAATTTCATAAAAGAAACGGTTCTGACTGAACAATTCACCTGTAACGATATTCTGACATTGCTTATTTTCCACCTCTTCAGGTTAATAACTTTGATTACTTTGACTCAGGGGGTGACACTTCTATTGTCCAGTGTGTGTATATAGACCGTGCAGAGACTTTAAAATATGATGTATGGTTTTTTGATAATTTGGGTGCTGATTAATCTTCTTCAACTCTCCTTTCTCACCTGGAAAGGTTTCATTCCAGGACGAGGCTCCACAGTTGGGCGTCTATCTCATCATACGGTATGAGTCGTCATTATATCAGAGGTTCCTCAACGATATCATAGCCGGCAGATCTGTGCTCGAGAACTACGGAGGGCGACTGGCCTGTGTCGCGAGTGAGGTAAATATTGCCATCAAGAATAATCTATCGGTATTGGTAGTTTGAATAGCAGTCTGGCAGTGCAATGAATGCGATGTTTTAGTATCTATGGCCTCTGTTTCAAACACACACATACAAAACGAAAAAAAAAATTAAGTCAATTTCCCTGCCTAAGAACTTGGTTACCAACGTTACGTGAACACATGCACACATCTTTCCCTATCAGGAACAGTATTACAGCAGTCAAAAGGAAATCCTAGTAAACTAAGCCAGGGAACTGACTTCATTTATTTATTTATTTCATTTTATTTATTTATTTATTTTTCTTTGTGAAACCAGGGCCTGGTATCTGAAGCCCGGCTCGCATTGTTTGTTTAATACTGTGTGATTAATTACTGAGGTATTTACAGCAAAACGGTGGTGGATGTTTCGAGCCTGTCTGGCCGCGTAATGATTGGTGCTTTGCATTTGTGTTTAAGTTACGACTCTTCATGACTCCTACACTGGAATTTTAACAGAAATTACAAAAAGCACTCAGAGAGTGCAGACTCCCGCTAAGGCCACTCAGTTTTTCTTGTCATTGATTATTTATTTTAAATGAACTAATTTATTAGCTAAACTCTCATTATTGGTATTAAAAAATCTACATAATTAAAAAGTAAGCAAAAATTACCAAACTGGCCCTATCTCCCAATGGTGAAAAATCCTTTAAAAATCCCTGAGTCCAGATGGTTATTCGGATCATCTCTAAAATATGATCATTTTAAATTATCTCATTTCTGACTTGTCATGAAATTTTTCATCAAAATCCATCCATTTTTTTAATAAGGCTGGTAACGAACAGTCAAACAGGCAAACCCTAAGACAAATACAGTATAACCTCTTTTTCGGAGGTATGATTTTTCTGTGTCCCGTAATCTCTGACTTCAGAGTGCCGTCATAGAAGTGTTATACTATTATGTATGTATATATATGTTTTGGTAACAGGTTGATTTGAGAGAATATTTCAGAGCAGTGTTTTAGCATTTCCAAACCTTTGATAGTCTGCTATCATTTCTGTTTTAGGTAGAGCTGGTTGAGAATTTCTGGCCCGGTCAGAAACTGCCGGCCATGTTGTGGTTCCCGGCAGAGGACTTGGCAGAACGCTGGCTGGCCAGTGACAAAGTGATCAAGCAGCCTGACTGGCTCAATGGTGTGGATATCATCATGGTGCCCGCCACCAGGAGAGCCGCCAGCGGTGGGTCTATTCTCTTTTTATTGTACTTTGTTTTATTACCACCGCCAAGGAGGTTATGTTTTCACCCCTGTCTGTCTGTCTGTCTGTCTGTTTGTCATCAACATAACTCAAAAAGTTATAGATGAATTTCGATGGAATTTTCAGGGTAGGTCAGAAATGGGTTAACTTAGAAATGATTAGTTTTTGGTGGTGATCTGGATCAATAATCAATCAATAATCAAAAATCATAAAACTAAGTTATGGACCGATCTTGATGAAATTTTCGGGAACTGTAAGAAGTGGTCCAAGGAACAGATGATTAGTTTTTGGTGGTGATCCGGATCAATAATCAATCAATGATCAATAATCAAAAATAAAAAACTAAATCATTATAGAATGAAAATTTAGGGGTGAAACGGCATTGGATGGAGACTTTGCTGCCTTGGCGGAGGTCTGCGCTCTCTGACTGCTTTTCTAGTTCTGGATTTATTTTCTCTGGTCGGTGACTAAATCGTCATTGGTATGGTATTGGTGCTTTATTGTTGCTATATATATATATATATAAATAAGTAAAAAGAAACCTTACATTTGCATCAAGTGATACCTTTCATAGATGGAACTTGTGATCCATACATTCATTTTCATTTATTGATCAATAATTAATAAGATAAGCCGCGTGTTTTATAACCATGCCTATTAACCATTGCAGATAAGAATGTTTTCTCCTTCATGGACGTCCAAGTCCGCGACGGCAAGTCATTTAAAGAGTATGTGGAGGGGTCTCTCCCCGGGGCGGAGAAGGCGAACTGCACCCCTGCTATCGCTCTGTCGCCGGAGCCGGCCAAATTGCGAGGCCCGTGGAATCCGGGGCTGGTAGTGATAAACCAGTGGAACAGCAAAGACCAGTTTTACCAGTGGTTTGAATCAGGTCAGTTTGCAAAGAAAAATGTACTTTTTTGCTTTTCCGTATTTTTGTGTGATAGAAGGCAAACACTCGGGTCAGTTAGGTGTATGGAATTGTGCACCTGGATATTCTTTTTGAAGTTTTTTTTAAAGAACCTTTTAAAGTTATAACATTTTCATTTAAAATAAGATGGGGTCTGTTTTTAAGATTTGATTTAATAAAAAATGTTTTAACTTTAAATGATTCTTTAAAAAAACTTCATTTTGAAATTAGTTGAAAATTGTTGGAGAAAATAGCAGATAAAATTGCGTTGTCAAAATAATCGAAGATGTTGAAACCTTTTATCCTATGTCATATTACAACATATGACGCATTGCCTTCTTTTTTACAGTTGTTAGATATTTGCTAGATCTATGTCATATAACCAATGATTTTTTAGATCTATCTCATATGACCCCGTTTTGTTAGATCCATGTCATACAACCCTGTTTTATTTGTTTTTCGGTTAGCTGAGTACCAGCCGTGGAAAGAGAAACGCCATAGCTGTTCTGAGAGCAATTTCGTCGTATTTGAGGGGACGCCCACCTCTCCTCGGAAGTAAGCCTGAAGAAGTGTGCCTTTCATTCCACACCCGGTTTAAAGATACAATATGATAAATTGAGTAGTTTTTTATACCTGGTATTTAGGAAATGAGTCTTACCATATTCTAAAGTATCACACGGAAGCAAACGGGACTATACGAATGACTTAGTTGACAAATGTAGGACAGCTCCAACCGAAGGGAAATAATATACACTTTAAATTTCAAAAATCAATATGGCATATCTGAAATAGCGTAACTGGAATAGCAGCTTTGAGCGAATATCTATTTGAATTAAACATCGCTCATAAATTGTGATGTTTGGATTATCAGATTAATCCGTCCATCGGCCTTCAAAATGGAAAAAAAATGCGAAACCTAAAACCCACCGGTATATATTTTTTCTAGACTTTACTTCGAATCAGTTCTAGTTAGGTCTAAATTTCTGATTATGTAGGAGACAACTTGTGCTGATGTGAAATAGTCGGCTAACAGAGTGGTAGTATTGTACCCCCACTGCACTCAGTGCAAGATTGTGACAACATATGGTTTCATCTCGTTTACCGCTTCACTTTCGAATCTCTCTCACATCTCCGTCGTGTCGTTCCTCAACTCAGCCACTACACTAGACTTTCAACGCATCTGATTGAAATGACAGCACTGTAAAGATATTACAACATTGTGTTTTACACAAAATATGGTATACGTTTTTTCGCTTTTGATTCAAAGGTTGAAATTGTAACTTAATTATAGATTCATTCTGAGTTCTCCCTCCAAATAAAACTCTTATTGTTGTTTGTCTGTTATTGTCCATGTAGAAAGATGTTATAAACATTTGATGTAATCTTATATTATGGTTGTAATGCCAAGGTTGACAATTAATGCATGCATGTGTTCACAATAGTTTGTTGAATGTGCACTCATACAATGTATTTTCTGGCTCATGCTCTTCCTTTCATGCTCTACTTTGATATGACAATAAATAATTTTGATATATAAATGGGCTGGTCAATGTGTTCATTTTACAAGAAAGCAATATACTGTTTTTTTTTTCATTCATAAAACAACATTAAAAGGTTTAAAAAAAGACATCGGTTATCATATTCTGAAAAGATATTATCCAACTTGACCTTTGATTTTCATCCCTGAGTTAATATAACCGACAATAGCTATTTTCAGAAGTGTTTCAGAATATCGCAAGAACGTTACCTATGCGGTGACAAAGCAAAACAAAACAAAAACATTTGCTGAAATGTAAACAATGACGCCTGCAGGAGTTTTTTTTATACAGTATATACCATAAATTTGTCATCGCTTACTCTATAAAAACTTGGACCTAAATATTAAAATAATGAATATTGGAATAATTAATAAATAAGAAATAAAATGAATAAATATTTGAATTTTTATTTCGTATTTAAAAAAAGAACTAACTAGATTAAGACGGAGGAGTCACTTCCATGAATCCATACTTGTTGAGTGGAGAAATACGGTTGTGACATGCTGAAGCAGCTTCAGTAATTTCATAAACCACAGAGTATTACAGTAGAGTGGTAACGAATTAATGCTCCTAGAACTGGGTCTGTGAGTGCTATGATGATCAGAATAAATTGCTTTTGTGGGGCTCTGTAATCGATTTCCCATTCGTGTGACGTGCTGTGAAGATAGTGCCTATATAAGTTCTATTGCATCTGCCTGGAGGTCGAGTAGAGGCGGTCTATGTATTGAGAGATACAAGAACATGGTACGATAGAGATAACCGCATATTTGATCCACGTACATCGAACTAGTTATAAGGTTCAACTGATCCATCACGTATACTGTTAGATAATGGCAGCGGTAAGTGGTGGTAGCTAGTTTTCCCACACACACACACACACACACACACACGGTACATTTCCATTTAGTACGGTCATTTCCGCTCTTGAATGTATATCAACCATGTAAAAGCTTAGTGCTTCCTTTTATCGTAACTATTGATTTTTTAACCTAACAGCAGGCTTTGGTTATTTAACTACATACATGAAGTTTCTCGCGATGATTACTGGGGTAAAACGGATGGTAAAATTATGCTATTTAAGTGTTAGATGCTGCTGTTTCACCTTGCTGATATCGCCCGCTCTGTGTGTAGTCCTTGCAGTCCTTGTATGGAGTCCCACGCTCTCGTGTCGTGGGTCAAAACAGCAAATAACAATCTCCCCAAGAGGACGGGGAGTAGTACCACAAATCAGTGTCGGGATTCGATCCTTACCTAGGGAATTATAGCAATAGAATATAGAAACAGACTGTAGCATTAACATATTCGTTTTGCGCGGAAAGCAAGTGCATATTTTACTAGTCGTGAGAAAATAATGGAAACTCATCAAACTAAAAAAAACATTATGTTAAGGCTAGATCTCATCTTTGCCAAACTTCACACTTCCGCCCCCTCCCCTGTCCTTCCAATGCGTACATGGACATACTCAGACATAAAGGTCCATAAATTAGGACAGACGAATAAGGCTTATATTGTTTGTTCACCCCTGAAACATTTCCCGGGTCGCTTGAATATATCAGTGGTTGTCTAAATTGCTTATCTGATTTCAGATTGTTTTACTAATACATCTCCTTTGCTTATCTTACTAGGTCGTGCATTAAATGACATTTTATAATGTTTACATTATATACTTTGAAATGGAATATCTTATCGGACACTGGCCAAAAAACTCTATACAATACAAACTGCAAGGCGTTGTTATTATATGAAATGTAGTGTTTGCAACTTTGAAGTCATTGAATTGGGGTTTGAAAAATCGAAATCGTGGATAATGGCTGGAAATGATTAATTAATATGTTTACGTCATTTACACAACGCTTTCGGGTAGAGTTTTGGGATGTATGGATAAAGTGAAATAGGCAGCAACCAGTAAGAACGTTTTGAACTTCATCACAGCGTCATGGGATATTTCGCGCCATTAATTGACCTCCTATATTTGCAAACATGAAACGTGCGTTTTATAACATATCCCACTGAGTCAGAGAGCCATTGAGGAGAGGAAGACTTATATGCCGGATCCCCAGTACAAGATGTTCTCGCTCCCGGACACCTGAGCTAATCTAAACACTATCTCGTTTAATGGTTCCTAGAGTTAATTGCTGTATGCTGACAAAACCTACGTGTGTTTAAACGAATGTACGTCGAATTTTAAATTTCTGTTTTAAATTACTCGAATATTTATCGTGATTCCTATTGGAAATTCCCTGAAGTTCCAGTGCACTGAGAAGTGTTGCCAAGTATATTGTATCAGGTAAATCATGCGATTATGCACACAGGCAACGAGGCCTCTTGGTGAAATTTCACGATGATTAGCAATCTTATTGACGATACTTTCGAATTCTGTCAATGCGTGATGGAATATTTGTGTAGGCCGGATATACATTCAAGCAGAACGGTTTACCAGCAAAAGGTCGCACATCAAAACCATCCTAGCTGCCGTCACTGCAGAGACAGATCAATAAAGAGAACGAGGATAAAATACCAAAATCGAACACTTTCGATTTACATGGAATGAGCTTAGACAGCTGACTTAATTAAAAACGAGTGGACCTCGCTTCACACCTTTATCAACCAGTAATCAACAGATCCCTTGATAATCTCTTTACCCTCACTGACATGTTGTCCGGAACCGCGCAAATTTTAGATATGAATGTAATTTAGAAATGGGCTCGAAATACGGACACCGTTGGAAACTTTTAGTTCGGATAACGCGTTAATATTACATACCAGGCTCGTGGTCAAAATAGTTACGTGTAATCGCTATGAGGAAATCCAACACTGACAACGATAACCAGTTTCAATCAGTTAATGTTCACTCGTTGCTTGCTCAGGTACATTCTGACGATATGTTGAATATTACACCCTATAGTATCTAACCAACACAATGGCTTCATGAACTTCGTAATCAATAGCTTCTTAATCAGAATAGTAAACAAGCCTACTCTGCCTCTTTAGACTTTACCTAACGTATTATGAGGAGTTAAGCCTACAGTAAAAAGTTATTACGTCAAGTTACGGAAATTGCCTGTGAATTATTTGATGTCTCCGACAATGTGAATAAAAGCTGAAGACTTACCGGTATATCATAATATTTACAACGCAACAGATATTGTGCAACCTCTACACAATCGTGCTGCCTTCATGTCATGTTGTATCACTTCAAGTTGACATTGGTCTGTCAGTAGTGATTACTTGTTAAACTGCCTTACCAAAGGACAGCTGAAAACGCACTGAAAGCTCAAATTAGAGTGCAGATGAATGTCGATCTAATCGCAAAGCAGGTCGTTATCTTGACTGAGATTTTTTAGTATATCCAATCATTTTTTCAGAGTGATGTGTACTGGGTTAACTATGAGGCATGTTACATGCTACAGAGGCATATGGGCTTTCTTATCTAATATTCATTGTTGTTAAAAAATTGCTAGATGCCTTGATGCCATATTTCACAACAGAAGAAATTATTCCCCTGTGCAATCTTACAGTAGAATCCAAATACTTAATATACAGCTATATACTCGTACAGCGTATGCATAGACGAATAGGCTTCCCTTTGAACGCAGGCTTGCTGTATGGTTTTACAATATTGATTTGCTTCCTTCCTTAATGCAAAATGAGAATATTTTACGTGTATTTTTTTCTTTCTTTAGAACCAAATTGGCCAGACACCGTGGGGAGTATATATGTTTATCTCCTACAAAGCATCCCTCGTGGATTACTTTATAAAGGATCTCGAGGAGGGAAAGCTGATGTTCCAGAAATGCGGTGGAGAAATCACGTGTATATCACGAGAGGTATAAAAAAGCACTCTTAATATCAGCAGTTCTTACAGTCGCAGTATCGCATAATATGCTTTATAGAAATGAAAAAAAAAAAGAAGACGGACCTTTAAAATCACCGTTTTGGATTCTGTCATGTTGATTTGCACCTCAGTGAATGATCTATATGTTTCATAAATTGTTACCAAAATTAAAAAACATCAACATTGATTTCAAGCTGCTATTCACTGCTGTGATCCGGACCGCCATATGTTTCAGGTTCTCAATACTTTCTTTCACTTGCTTTAATTTAATTGTCCACCGTAAAATTTAAGTCCCTAAGTCAAGAAGAAAAAAGATAAATTCTGACATTTATAACAGGGAAGGAGGAATCTCTTCATTTCAGCTCCATGAAATTGAAGGCAAGTGGAAACGTGACATGGTGATAGCCGTGCTATGGTTTCCGGACGTCGCACGTGCCCAGAAATGGCTGATAAATGACCCGATCGCGCAGAGTCCTGACTGGCTGGAAGGTGCAGAAATAGTAGTACTGCCGATTGCAAAGGAACCGCCCTCAGGTTTGTGCCACTATCTATGCAATGGTGCTTGGTTGCTGTGATCTATTTTCAGTGGTAATAGAATGTCTTTTTGTTCTCTAAGTAGGCCTATGTAGTTGTTCCGTGGACAGTTATTTTCGTAAGAGCCGGTATTTCCAACGTTTACAACATGTAAAGATTGTCTTCATTGCTGAACTAAAAAATCACACAAAATTGTTCAAGAGCGTATTGACATATTTTCCTTGTGATTGTAAACAGAAACTACATATTGGCCGTTTCAACATTTTACAGAGAAAAAGATGTTCCTTTTCATCGACCTAGAGATTCATGACGCAGCAAAATTTCATCAGTATATGGAGACGCTGCAGCCGAGTCTAGAGGACGTGGGGTGCACTCCCACCGTGGTGGTCACTCCTACCCCGGTCAACTCTCGTGGTGACCAATGGGTCCCGCGGTTTGTAGTGGTCCATCAGTGGGACAACATGGAAAACTTCAACAATTTCTACAATTCTGGTATGTTATACCGTAACAGTTGTTACACCACAGCTATGACCTTACGACTGAATGATTTCTGCTAAACAAAATATTAATATGAAACTTAAAGTATGACGTTGTTATAGCAACATTTCTTTTTATAATAACAATCACGCGTGCTTTTACGTTATCAACCTTAGTTACCATTCCATGTCATAAAGATAATGCAGTAGGTATGAGGTTCACAACTTGATTTGTTTTTCATTGTTACTCGCAAAATGAAAAATCAAGGTCTAATGAAACTAGCATCACTCGTTTCGCACAATTACATCAACAAATTATAAAATTAGAAAAAATATTGATATAATAATAATAATAATAATAAGTTTATAAAAACATAGCAAACAAAAGGTTAAAACTTTACAGATAAATGAAGGGTATACAATAAAATCAAAATGAGTTCCAAAGTAAAACACAGACCTCTAAAAATTAGATAAAGAAAACGGATAAAGGTGTTTTTGAAACGTTCTGTCCTGATTTTTAGTACATTGAAATTAGACTGTATGTCCTAGCTTTATGTAAGTTTTGGAGCATGGAGCATAAGACGTAACTTTGCTTGTCCTTGTCGTTCTTTATTTCCTTGAAGAAAGATTTGCAGAGTTCCATGTGTGAGTGCTCTCGACTGAATAGAATCTATTATTTTGCATTGGGGTGTGCAATAAATATGAAATGATGATGATGATGATGATGATGATGATGACAAAAAGAAGAAGTATACATATTTATACACATCGTAGTTGTTATTATAGCTGTTTACCTTTTTTCAAATAGAAGATATTTCTAAATTTTACAATTATTGATGAAAAAGGACAAGGCAATAACTCAGTTGGAAATTTAAATAGCTAGTCTTTTATCATACATGACATGTTGTTTCTTTCGAACATCAATTATCCTAAGTTTCAAATGTACTGTTAGACGTTAAGGCTGTCTCTTCGTCTACATAGAATATCTCACTTTTCCAGAAGAATATCGACCATTAAAAGACCTAAGACACAGCTGCGCACAGAGCAACATGGTTTTATTCTCCAACGACGTGTCCATAGCAACGCAGGCCTCGCCATCGTGACCTCTCTTCGAATTCTAGCCGTATTTATCAGACGTATTTATCAGGTTGTGCGCTGAACGAAGATAATGTAAGAGACTTCTAATGGGCAGGAAGAAAGATAAATGTTAATACTTTATAAAGATATAAATATGAAAATCTTTTCTTGAAAAATCTGTGGAGGTTGTGGTTGTTCACCTGCAACCCCCCCAGGTTGCCGACACACACGCCATCGCGCAGGTGGCCTTTAACAAGCACATGCTGACGCTTTTTAATGTTATGGTCATTTTTACCCATGTGAAAATCATTGTGAAACGTCAGATTTCCGAAATTTGAGGGTGTGCATACTTTGAATTTGAATAAATGGTATAAAATACGAATGTCTTAATTGGTGTTTTAGCTTTTTCTGTAACATAAGTCACGTTAGAGATGGTATCTAAAATAAAAAAGTTTGTAAAAACACATGAAATTAAAAGTGGGACATCCTTTTTGACCAAGTGTTTATTGAGGAAAGTACTGCATTAATAATAATAATAATAATAATAATAATAATAATGATAATAATAATAAGAAATTTTATTTAAAAAGAGTAAAACATGTTAAGTGTACGCACTTGTCTTCCACATGGACCTTTTAGAGGAGTTAGAATAAATTGTACTATAATAAATGTTTGTAAAAAGTAAAAATAAATAAATAAAACAATTATAATAATGAAGTTAATTTTAAATAAAAATAAATATATTAAAAAACATTGTGTTAGTAAAAAAACTAAAAACTACATAACGTAATAAGTATATCCATAAAATCTACTTTTGATTTTTTAATACAATTCTTAAAGTATCCAGTAGATTTTAATTTCAGAGGTAAGACAGTTTTATATATTAATCGAAGTCCATTGATGAACCTTTTGTTAGTATGTCTTTTTGGGACCATTCCCACAGATACTTGGATTGATCTTTCTCCCTGGAGAGTCTCACTAAATTGCTATCAACTTAACAGGCTTAAATGTCTGTCACACCTAGTAAAGCTGTAATTATATTTACCCTCTAGGTGATTCGGAAGCTGATATTCATGCAGAAAATGAACCAACCGTTCAACTGGGGGGTTACAGAAGGTGATTTAACCGAAAACAGCAACCACAGCTAGTTTGTAAAGTTTTGAATCGTGTTTTAGAGTTTAAGTATCGAAGTTCAGAAAATTCTCTTCCACTGTTGCATATGCTTGCATACAAGATTTTTCAAAATTTTGTGGCCGACTAGCATTCTTGTAAATTCAATAACTTTTGATCGGCTGGCTTGATTTTCAAAAGGTAAAATGTTTTGGAAAGCTCATGAATTGTTCTATCAGAAAATATCATTTTAATTATACGGTCCCTTATGATATTATCACGAAATAATTGTTAATATTTCCGTAAAGGGCAACTTCAACTCGTGGAAAAGAACTTGCGTTTTATAAAACAATGTCATGAAATGCAAGAGACACCTACATGTAGTTTCAGGATTGGGGAAAATAACGCGATGACTCCTGTTTTTAATGTATCATGGCACCATTATGTAGGATATAAATATTTGAATTAAGAGGTCGAAGTCTATTAAAATCAGACCCAAATTATACATTAGAATACAGCATACATTAGAATTTCAAAATACGATCCTGGGTTTATTATTTATTCTTAAATTTATAATAAATAACCGTGGGCTTAAGGAAAGGTAAAGCGAAGAGACGATACAGTGATTTCCATAGATGTAAACAAAACATGAAATTAAACAAAAGTTTGTTGCAGATTTCAAAACTTCTCAATTTTAATTAAAATAATCAAGGTATATACATTAAAAAGGTTCAAACAATTCATAGAAAAAAGGGTTTGGCTGACGGCAGCTAAGAAGTTATTTTTCATGTCCATTTCCATACCGGAGCAGATAACTTATTTCTCCCTCCCGTAAGAGCGAATCATCTATCCTTCGCTGCACTTGGACTTGTACATTTATTAAAATTATGAAGGTTGATTTATATAGTTAACGAATTTAAATGATTGACCAGTCAATATAACCAGTCACCATCTTCACCAAGTTCCATTGGAGATAAGGTATGTTCCAGAAAAAATTTACTAAAGGGGTTTAATCGTTTTTACAACAACCTATGAATGGAAAAATGAGCATATGGGGCATTTTCAGACTCAAGGCGTGTACGTAGGTTACCTTTAATTTTCCCTGCCATCAACCCAGATGTTTTGAACAGAAATAAACCACCCTGACCACAAAACGACAAAATTATCACATCCGTTTACTACATCGAAAAGTATAAAATATTTAAAGAAAGAAACTTGTTTTCCTCTTTTTTCACGACAAAGCACGGGAGACGAACTAGAAACTATTTCCCTTAGACCTATGCTGTTGACCTATGCTGCAGGTCTTGACGCAGAAGTGAGGCATTGTGACAGTTGAGAACATATGGGAATTCCGGATGACGTCACGACTCACCATTTGCATTCTGGGAATATGGCTACCTTTAAGCAATTACTACGCAGCAGAGAACTATATTGATTTTTTTTTATGTTACAAATTCCGAGACTATAAAATGCTTCTATTCATTTTCAACTTTATGCAATGAATATTCTAACTCTCTATTATGTTTGACTTCGTCACACTATTTGATATTTGAAACTCGATATTTCGCGCAAGCACAAGGGAGAAGGTATGTGACACGGTGTAAGGCGAAAGAAGAAGATGAGGAGAAATACGACTAAATAACTTAACCATTTTGTTACTCTGAAGAGGATCGGGTCATCCTTTGGAGATCATTGTTTAGCGTTCATATCTGCTTCTTGCATGAGATTTGATTATAGACAAAATCTCACGTGGAACCCTAGGGAAATCGTGCGGGGTGGCCTAACGTTATCCTCTCCGAGTCGGACAAAATCGACTCAAATTTTTTAGGGATTGAATATAAACGTACCTCAAGATGTCGATGCCACCCAAGAAGGGAAAAGACACAAAGATGCGCATTCGGGCTTTCCCGGTTAGTAGTTTAAGTGTAACTGATTGATTATTGGCAGTTTGTTGAGTTAGTCGGGATTCTCTGGTACTGAACGCCTGTCATTTTATTTTGGCTGCTGACGCCGTGTATTTACCCATTCCCATTTGTAGTGTTGAGCCAGTGATTCATCGTTTTTGAAATGTTAACATGGTTTGATTATATAAGACATTATTAATATGCTCATTAAGTTTGAGTGAAATATTTATGCTGCCTTTTATGCATGCTAATTGCTTATAACCCAGTTGGTGTCTGAAAGCAGTCTCTGAGGCTGCAATTAAACCAAAGTTGATCCTTGGACTAACAGGTCCATAGATCAAATTTAAACCCACCCACTTGTAAGCTTGCAGTGTAATCCCTGTAGGGTATCCATACAGTGTCTGTCATGGGATATGCAGCAAACTTTCAAGTCGGTTGGCCTATTTGATCTGCGGATATGTTAGTCCATGGATCAACTTGTTCTGTATGTGGCCAGAGTAAAGTTGTGATATATGTTACTATTTTAGGCAGTGCATTCAGTACTGAATTGCCTTTCTGTAATGAACGTATTCATTTGTTTCGTCTCAGAGAGTCTGAAGGGCATCCAGTCCAAATGAGCAGTACTTAGATCTGTTTTTAATTATGTTAAAGACTGATTAATCAACATTCAGTTACACATTTTGATAAAAGAAACATGCCAATACTCAGATATTTGATTTGTTGTTGTATAGTTCCAAGTGCATTCTGACACTTTCAGATGACCATGGATGAAAAATATGTTAACAATATTTGGGCATTGTTGAAAAATGCAATTCAAGAGATACAGAAAAAGAACAATAGCGGACTTAGCTTTGAGGAGTTATACCGCAATGCATATACCATGGTGCTACACAAACATGGGGAAAAATTGTACACTGGCTTAAGAGAAGTTGTGTCTGAACATTTAGTAAATAAGGTAGGAATCTTAGTTTGACAAGTTGAGTAGAATGAACACATGTTACTAGTGAAACATACTTTGCAAGTTGTACATTGTTGCACAGTTAATCAAATAATGTTTGTTTTTGCTGATGGGGGGGAAATACTCTGTAGCTGTATATTCACAGTTTGAGAAGAATCATCGGAGTTGTGATATTTTAGGTAAACCTAGTTCAGATCCAGAAATATGTTGTGAAAAAAGTCCAGAATCTTTTATTGGTTTGCTCAGAAATCAGTTTTTTGTTTGATATTATTTAGGTGAGAGGTGATGTAGAACAGGCGCTGAATAACAATTTCCTACAGACTCTGAACAGTGCTTGGAATGACCACCAGACCTCTATGGTTATGATCAGAGATATCCTCATGTATATGGTAAGTTTGTAATGACCACCAGACTTCTATGGTTAAGATCAGAGATATCCCCATGTTTATGGTGTCAAAAATCACTTTTTGATTGCATTAAAAAGATGGCCTACTATCAGTTTTAATATACCTATTCTGCTATGAAAATTGAACAAAATAATTTTGAATAATTTAATATTGATTTATGGGAAAAAGCATGTCTGGTAAAAAAAATAGTTATAACTAATTTGACTCTTAAATCAAAAGCAGCACTGTGGTTTTTCTTACATTGGTCATGAAAATTATAATACCTTACAGGACAGAGTTTATGTGCAACAAAATGGAGTTGACAATGTCTACAATCTTGGGTTAATAATCTTCCGTGACCAAGTGGTACGCTGTCCAGTGATTCGAGATCATCTGCGACAGACACTGCTAGAGATGGTGGCCAGAGAGAGAAAGGGGGAGGTAGTAGACAGGTGAGAATACATAGAGAGAAAGTGGGAGCTAGTGGACAGGTGAGAATACAGGGACAGAAAGGGAGATTTTGTAGACAGGTGAGAAAGGGGATAGTAGATAGATGAAAGTACAGGGAGGGAAAGAGGGAGGTAGTAGACAGGTGAGAATACTGGGGGAGAAAGGGGGAGTTAGTGGACAGGTAAGAATGCAGAGAGAGAAAGAGCGAGTTAGTAGACGGGTGAGAATACAGGGACAGAAAGGGAGATATGTCAACAATCTGTAGATTTCTGTGCAAAACCAACTATGAACAGCAATAATTCTTAGCAGTCTCGTGGCAATGAATGGGTAATGTTTGTTCAAGAGAATATTGTATCTGTTGTATCAGACCACTACATACTTATTCTAAGAGAATATTGTATTATGATGTCAGTGTGATCATTGCAGGTCAGCAGTGAAGAATGCGTGTCAGATGCTGATGGTGTTGGGTATAGACTCCAGGACTGTGTATGAGGAGGACTTCGAGAGGCCTTTCTTGGAACAGTCTGCAGACTTCTACAGGGTGAGTGGTGCTGTATTTCTATAGAGCTAGCCTTTTACCAGTTTGAACCACCAAACACTGACAAAACCACTTTGAAAAGATACTATCTTGACTGCAAAATCTGATCCTATTCCACTGTTCAAGTATCATTACTTTCACTCAGAAGTTATGGGTATCAATCAGGTAGTTTATTTGTGTCTTTAAATGCCATACATCACATTATTTCAAGAGCCATATTTGTGTGTAATGCAACATGTACAAGTCAAAATCTGGTCATCTTTTTTGTGACACCCAGCTTGAAAGTCAGAAGTTTCTTGGAGAGAACAGTGCGTCTGTGTATATAAAGAAAGTGGAGGCTCGAATCAATGAAGAGGCAGAGAGAGCAAGACACTACTTGGACAAATCCACAGAGGAACATGTCGTCAAGGTATCTGGTTCAATATGTTTGTGTTAATTGGAAGAGGGGGGGGGGGGCTCTTATAAATTTATTGTTAGGATTGCATGTAAATAGAATTAATGACGAAAGCATTGATCCAATATCATATGCATATGCACTCAGCAGAAATATATATAATCTCTCCATGTAAATTATTTATGTAACGAGTAATGGGCTATGGAATGTAATCTGTAGCTGTTGACAGTACGGACAGAAATCTGAAGCACGTTGACTACAAAATTTAATTTGTATGATTTAAAATGCATCTATCCTATAATGCAGATAAAATTTTTTAAAGTCTCGCGTGGGGCATTTATATTTTGCTCAGTGTATATTGATTAGGTATCAGGTGCATGCATCTCTTGTGGAATATTTAATCTAAAATATATATTGAAATATTTTTCACAAATTGCAGGCCTGTCATGACAAAATCAATATTAATTATTTGATGTTAAAGGGTTAAAATACAGACTTAGTGTGGGTTTGTTCCTTGCAGGTGTTAGAAGATGAACTGATCTGTCAACATATGAAGACAATAGTGGACATGGAGAACTCTGGAGTGGTTCATATGCTCAAAAATAATAAAACAGAAGGTTGGTTTCACAATTGACCTTGTCAAGTCATGTAGTTGTGAATTTTTATCTGTGATTATGTAAGCTGACAGCTGTTTTTGTCAATGCTATTTGTAATGTATGAGCTTTATTTAGATATCTTGTAAATTCCCAATATTATGGAACCTTACATAAAGACATGCCAATCTCTGAATCATGGTACGATAGGGTATATCAGTTGGAATTAGTATTGGCTGCAGTACACATGGAGGCAGAAGTCTGGTCTGGTCAAAATTATTTTTGAATTCATACAAAACTTCTCAAAACATCTAGTATCCATGTAAGGGACATTGCCCCATCCTATCAAAACATGTGGCATTCATGTAAGGGACATTGCCCCATCCTATCAAAACGTGCGTCATTCATGTAAGGGACATTGCCCCATCCTATCAAAACATGTGGCATTCATGTAAGGGACATTGCCCCATCCTATCAAAACATGTGGCATTCGTGTAAGGGACATTGCCCCATCCTGACTAAAATCAGGCTGTCACAAGAGAGTAAGTCCTGTTCACAGGGGAATGTAGCTTTTGACAATCACTGGTGTATTGAGTGCCATGTGGATGATAAGAAAGCCATTGAGTGAAAACTACCCTGTGCCAGAGGGAGGGACATGGCAAGAATTCAGTGAATAGACTTGAGAAATGAAATATTTCATGTAAAAGTTTGTTTTTATCCACTTGATATGACAAAGTGATTTATGATTAGTGACAGTGTTCTAACTCTTTTTTTCAGTGTGATTCCCTTAAATGGATGCTAGGTGTTTTGATAGGATGGGGCAATGTCTCTTACATGAATGAACTTAGTTTATGGTGTTATTCTATAAAGCAAGGCAAAGTTGTGTATTGTTATTTCTGGAACTTTTTTCAGATTTGGCATGTATGTACAAACTTTTCATTAGAGTCCCCAGTGGACTGAAAACAATGTGTGATTGTATCAGCTCCTACCTACGAGAGAAGGGAAAGGCCTTGGTACAGGATGAAGATAAAAATGCCATCACATACATACAGGTACACACTGGTTTGACACTCAGGCTGGAGAGTTTTCAGAGGTTTAGTAGGATTCAGTGTTGTTTATTTTAACAGTTAAATTTCTGACATTTTTACACCAAAGCTCAGAGTCACATCACTCCCTCGTGAAGATTTTGAAAATTTTCAAATCATTTTCATTCTTTTGTATTAGAAATCTTTAAGAAAGGGTTTGAGCACAAATTAAAAAGGTTTTCGAGATAGATCTGATGTGCTAGTATCAAGTAATCCATCTGTTACATTTCTGCTTTCAGAGTCTGCTTGATCTCAAGGACAGGTTTGATCACTTCCTGTATGAGTCTTTCAGTGAAGACAGGGAGTTTAAGAAAATGATATCTGGTGATTTTGAATACTTCATCAATCTCAACTCCAAATCTCCAGAATATTTGTCATTATTTATAGATGATAAACTGAAGAAGGGTGTCAAAGGGGTGAGTGTCAATTCAAAAGGATAGAGATGATATTGTTTGATAAATTTCTCACGACACTGATGAAAATAATACAAACTCTGAACCACACAACCATTTTTTTGTAACATTTGTACCCACCCCCACCCCCTCGAAAAAATATTATTAATCAAAATGGTATTGACAAATTTCGCAGTCTCAGTGCAATTTTGAAGCCTTTAACTTCTGTTTCTTGGAAATTGTAACTACATCTCTAAGTATGGCTCTCCCCAGACAACCTTCCAGTACTATACTGACCTTCATATTGTAATCATATATCATGTGTTATTCCAGATGTCAGAGCAGGAAATAGAACAAGTGTTAGACAAAAGCATGGTCCTGTTTAGGTTTTTGCAAGAGAAGGACGTCTTTGAGCGTTATTACAAACAACACTTGGCCAAACGTCTTCTGCTCAACAAGAGTGTGTCTGACGACTCCGAGAAGAACATGATTTCTAAACTGAAGGTAAGGGATTAGGGGATGTTACATGTCAGCCCACTGCACTTGGTAGCTATGTATATATTGGTAATATGGATTTGTATTTTAATGTCTCATTTTGAGTATTTTCTGCCTTTATGAATTTTATGTCATAATCTCTACTTACTCCCCTTCCCCTCTACTTTCAGACTGAGTGTGGTTGTCAGTTCACATCCAAGCTGGAGGGAATGTTTAAGGACATGACGGTGTCCAACACTACCATGGATGAATTCAAAGGACAGGTACAGACATCCAATGTAAGTAGATTTCACATGATATATAATGGGTGAATGTTTCAGAGATTGCATGAAAGGGAAATTGGCAGAAATTTTCATGACAGAAGAAAACAAATGCACAGTAAACACAGAACAGTTAACGGAGGGCTGACATGACCTCCTGTTAGTTGTAATTATTTTATTACGTCAGCTTAGAGAATGAGTGATTGTGAACTTATTTTAAATCAGATGAATGAGTTTCTTATCTGCACAATGCAGACATGGGGAAAACTTTGCTTGGAGGTATTTAGGGTCTAGAGATCTTGTGCAGATCCTCCTACTTTAATGTAGGTCCGAACTATGTCAGCTTTATCACAGATTTTAGATGCTAGAAGACAGGCATGGAACGTAAGGGCCATTAAGTCTTATATAATCACCACATGGCACTTTAAATGTTCAGCATGTTAAACCCACTTTCCACTGCAACAAACAAGCCATAGCTGTTACACACGTGAAGACAGGAAGTTGGCAAGAGGCCATGTGCTCATTGGCCAAAAGTATATAGATCAAAACTGAATGCAGATCATGCCATACAAATAGCATACAGATATAATGCCCTCATTTGAACATAAACTTTGAGGTGACTCTGTGAATTTTTTTTTTTTAATTTCATTTGTCAAAATTTATGTATGATATATTTTTATGTATTGTGTTTTCACAAAACCTTGCTGATCCAGAGGACCAGCGACATCTAATATCTTACCAGTCCTCAGGCTTTTCTGGTGGTCAGGACCAGTCGGTCTGGCAGTTTTCCCATGACTGCAATGTAAACTTGGCATGGTAAAGAAGTAAACTGTTGATTTGTTAAAATTGTCTGACTTTCACCATGATGCATGTTTTTATATTCTGTCCCAGACACATCTCCATGGCGTTGACCTGTTTGTGAGAGTGTTAACCACAGGGTTCTGGCCCACACAGTCCGCCACACCCAAGTGTAACATTCCCCAGGCACCAAGGATGGCCTTCGAAGCTTTTAGAAGGTGAGACAATTAGCCCAACATATACCTCAGGGACCGACACTGGGTTGTTCACACAGTTATTAACTAGAAGAAGCTTCTGACCTGATTCTGCTGTGTGCTGAATTTTGTCATTCAGATTACAACAGAAGCCATGGATCTGCAACAAGTTAATATTATTATATTCATTGTCAAAGGGGGGAAATGGTGCAACCTTTGTAAACTGTAGTTTGATTTTTATTGACCATGCCAATATAAGATTTTTCCAGTCTAAACGGGTCAATCAAAGAAAGTCGAGGAAAATTTGGAGTATTTAGGGAAATTTACATATGCCTTTCAAACAAATGGGTTTCATAAGGTGTAATTAATTATTTGTTTTGATTCCCTCCAGGTTTTACCTTGGCAAACACAGTGGCCGCCAGCTGTCCTTACAGCCCAACCTGGGCTCTGCTGACCTGAACGCCACCTTCTATGGCAGTAAGAAAGAGGAGGCAGAGGCCAGTGGTGCCAGCAGTGCGTCCAAGGGGGGCCCCAGGAAGCACATCATTCAGGTGTCTACATACCAGATGTGTGTCCTGATGCTGTTCAACAACACAGACAGGTGGACATATGAGGTGAGACTGCTTCATGCCTGTTTCTTATTGAAGTTGAAGATTATTTAATATGTTTAGTTTTCCTCCTTTACTGATATCCCGTCTCCTTTCTTGACTTCTGATTTGTCTTCACACAACATTTGAGGTACAAGCAAGTTTACTGCACAAAGGAATGCACTAAAATAAAATGTAAATCCTCTGTGTGTCTGAATTTGAAGTTTCACTGTGGGTAATACATAGACATAGGCTGCCGGAGAAGGTTTTTGTTATGAGATCTGCAAGCATTGTTGATTGAAAGTTCAAAATGTCAGAACTCCAGTTAAAAGACTGTTCTATTGGGGGTTACTATATTTAATTTATAGGTCCAGTTTT